GTGTTCTCTTAATATTTCGTTGTTCATGCACGGAGCGGAAGCAGCTGAAAAGGACGGCCTATTGTCATCGTATGCTCAATTTCTCGACAGTTAGATCAACTACCTTCGTTTTCTCCATCACCTAGTTGAATTATTTTCTGTTACCATTCGCAGACAATTCTCTCTCGAAGGCCGTTTCCACGTTTTCGCAGGCTATTTCGCCTAGCTTTCCAGGATCATGGGGGAAAATTGTCAACTACGAGCCGGGAGACGGCAACAATGGACATGGCTCGAATACGTAATGTGGGCCTTATTGCGCATATAGATGCAGGCAAGACTACAACCACAGAAAGAATGCTCTTCCTTTCAGGTATATTAACTATTTTGTTTTGAGTCCGATCCCCTTTCTCCTGGTAGTTCTACCTAAACATCGAACTTGACATCAATGTGAATGTTACTGTCAGTTTTTTACTGTGTCGACAATTCTATCTTATCAAGCTGGGCTGTCGATTGGTAGAACGCCCTGGTTGGTCAATCAAACTAAAGTGCGATTTGCAGATGACACTGCTATTATGGTGCAGTAAGGATCATTTAACATTGGTTCTTGCTGGACCCAACTATTCACAAAGAAAAGAGGGCACCCAGAAATACCTCAACCTCTCGCCACTAAGAAACTGCCTCTGACGAGTTTACAGAATGTAAAAAAACAAGACAATTCACATTGCGTACTAGCTGAGTATAGCTTTTTTATATCACCATCTACTCTTAGTTAGCAAAAACCATTCGTTGGACATGCAGCAATTGGAACTCGCTCAGCAAAATGCAGGAAACAGAATGCGATCTTGTCAGTCGCTTAGGTGCTGGTTATCTCTTGTGCGAGGGCAGTTTATTACACCATTATCCGTTATAACTCGTTGGATCGGATGACTTCTAAGCTGGATCCTTACCTACAGATAGATATTGCACAAAACAATCTTACGCATATTTAGGTTTACGACTCATTTGAAGCTCCTTCCTGCCCTATGTTGTTCCTTTTGTGATGTATCCTTTCATAACGCCAATCCTTCATTCCAAAACAGGCCAAACTCATGCAATGGGTGAGGTGGATCGTGGCGACACGGTGACTGACTTCTTAGAGGAGGAGCGTGAACGCGGGATCAGCATTATGAGCGCAACTGCATGTTTTCCCTGGCAACGGCACTCCGTCCACCTCATAGACACTCCGGGTCATGTGGACTTCACGTTGGAAGTGGAGCGCAGCTTGGCCGTAGTGGACAGTGCTCTGACTATCATTGACGCCTGTAAGGGTGTCGAAACACAGACACGTACTGTCTGGTAAACCATATTTCTTTTGACATCCTTTTACTGAGTAGATTTCCAGCTGTCTGACCCTGTCCCAGTAGCTTAAAGTAAAGTATGACTACCGTACTCAAGCAAACATCTAGCAAGACTTTCTCGGCTTGAGTTCTGCTAAGAAACTGGTGTCTGACCCGTAGAAAACCATAATTATTTGCTCTTATTTTTAACATAAAGAACCTCCAGTGGCACTTTGACGAAGACGCCCTTTCCGCTTCTGTCTGCTTCGTAACAAATTCAAGTCTGTAGAAGCCAGACTTTGTTTTCCATCTAAAATTCTCGGGGGACTCAACTTTTTTGTCTAATAACCTTCCTATCTGCTAAAAGTTCCTCTGAAAAGTAGACCACATGATGATTCTTTAATGCTCCGATGAAAGGCTGCCTCAACGGTGGCGCGCGAAAGGTCATTATTTAACTCCACTGGTCATCCTAGCCGATGGGCCTCGAAGAAGTAGAAAGCGTCCGATGGGAATTTTGCGAACCAACGCTGGCAATTATAGACATCACATCTTTCGTTTACGTACCACAAGTTGTTTTAGTCGCTGTTGTTGCGTTATTGCCCTTGCGCAATTCATACATTGTACAAGAACAAACATGACTGCTCTCGATTTGCACGTCTTCCATATTGTTAGGTCCAATCTAAAATAAAGTTTATATAAAAACAGGAAAAATAAGACCATACTGATTTACGAAGACATCCGGATCAAATTGAGCAGCCTTAAGTGATTTGTGAACAACATTCAAATGAAGATCTCAAAAAGCTGTATTACATTCCGGCACCTTTAATATTAACACAAATATAAGGACAACGGTATCACTCAAACGTTAGTATGAAGGACTAGACTAACGTTGATCAAAAATTGTGCTTTTAAGTGCTCCTCGACTATTCAGATGCAATTCTTAGGCCTATGGAATTTGAACTGATACCGGTTTTTAAGCGTAGTCTACTGACGGATTATAGAAAGTATTCAGAGGGCAGTTGGTAAAAACCTTTTCTTCTGTCCTATCTCATACCTGACGATATATCAAGCCCTTATGTTTTCGTTGTACAAAAACAGGACTCAAGCCGACCGTCACGAACTGCCACGGATGGTTTTTATCAACAAAATGGATAGACCTGCGGCAGACTTTGATGGTAGCCTAAATTCTCTGCAGCGTAAACTGGGTAAAAAACGCACCTTCCTGCCCCTCCATCTGCCTGTCTTCACATCCTCTGACCAACACCAGCAGTCTGCGGGAGGTCGTTTTGTCGGCCTGGTAGATCTGCCGCGTCTCGATCTTAAGGTGAGTTGTTAAGACAAACCGCTTTCTGAAAAAAGGTATCGGAGCAGAATAAAAACAGACCACTTCTGAAGGAGCACACGAAAGAGCTTGCCGTACCCTGTCCGCGCGGGGGTTATTCCTTTTTACCTCAGCTAGTTTAGCCTCAACCTAACCAGAGCTGTAGTCTTTGGCACGATACGCTTTCTTTCACATGAACCTCAAACTAGCTTTCTCTTTTGAATGTGTTTGCCCTTTGAGCTCATTTCCTTTTGATAAGGAGAGCCGCTAGTTATCGAAATTTGCTTTCTTGAGCACATGCAAGTTGAAGGAAATAGTCTTTTACCCTTCTTTGCAAATCGTGTGGCTTTTGTGGTCCCTCACCGCTACTTGTTAGACTGGAAGAGGAGGAAAGACATTGTCAAAAACTGAAACCCCAATCCTGTTTGTTCTAAGTATTGTATCTCGGGGTGTACAGTTACCACGTGCCTTAGCCGGCTGAAGGTGAATGCAGTGACTTGCGCCTGAGTTACTTTGAAGAGATAGTAGACTTGTGATGCAGCTACCGCACCCTCTTCCCTCACCCATCTGTGCCCGGTGTCATGACAGAGTCCAGAAGATCAGAGGCGGGATCGGACGCCGATGGTGTACATGGTAAAAGCCGCACCTAAACGCACCACCACGAACCTTAGTCCACAACAAACACCCAATCAGGGGGCATGAAATGGATAGTGTTTCCATCACGGACGGAACATAAAATAGCGTTGAGTTTCAGTTTAAAGCTGACAGTGTAACAAATTATACGAACAACATGTATAAATGCGGAAGGTCTTCGATGAACACTGCTGGAGCTTAGCTACACAACAAATCATGCTCATCTAAAATGCAGTTCGCGGGGGCTTGTCTGTTGGACTGTGGATAGTGTTCTACAAGACAGTCTACTGACTTGCTAGTTAGATTCATATCGTCGCATGAGAACAAGACAAGTTCTCTGTTTCCTCCAACACGCTATAAGTTTTGATTTTCAGAAACTATGAACTTGCAAAGAACTTGAACTAAAATTGAGATCGCGTTAACAAAGGCCGTTGCGAAAACGACATGTATATTGCTAATAGAGGCGAAGATGCGCGTCCCCTCCTTATCTTCTCATATCTGTATACATATATATGTGATCGAGTGTTTCAAAAAAATATGTTGAATGGAAAACCCTCACAGTGACCACATGTAATAAGCGAAACTCCACAGATAACAGATGACTCGTGGAGACCCATTTTTAGTTATCTTTTTCCGCTTAGTACAGTAGTCGCCGGTTATTAAGCCCACGGTTAATACCCCCAGCCGCGTATTAAGCCAAAATCAGCTTGGGACGGAATTTTACATAGCGAAATCCGCGGCTAATAAGTCCAGTCGCCGGCTACAAAGCCCAGTTTGCCAACAGGATAGAATGAGCTTCTCATCTCTCTGCGTGCGCAACGCGGTCTACAGACATCAGATTTCACAAA